TGCCAAATTTCTGGGTTTTTAAGGCCAAGTTCCATAAAATGAATCGTGTATGTGCATATGTGGTATCTGGAAGTTTTACTCTATTGCTAGAAAAATATTCTGAACAAATAATAATTCAGTAGCCCACTTTTCCTAACTTTGTGTAATCTGACAAAAATGTGTTCTTCACCTTGTATGGGTCCATAATCCCTTATCTTAAACTCTTGGGCCCAGCTGCATTTTGGAATACAGACTTCTTTGAATTTTAAAAAGTTAATTTGCTACCCCGTGAGGTCTGGGGCAACATCCCACAATCAAACATTAATCCTCTGCCTTGAAATACTCACATTAAGTAGGTTAAATGTCCTGTAAGTAGCTTCATTCAGGTCAGTTTAGGTCCTTGTTTTGCTGGCACATAATTCTGGTAAGGTTGGGCCATAGATGAATCACAGAAAACTTTTAGGTTTTGGAATTTGAGGGCTTTGGAGTTGCTAGTTAGACAACTAGTTAGTTAGGTACACACCACAGCCTCTGAGATGTCTGAGTTGCTCTGAATGCCTCCCTCCATCCTCAGAACCACCATGAGGTTAAGCCACACAGCTCTGTCACCTGGACCGCAGCAACTCCCTCCTACTTAGCTCCCTGGCGATTCATTCTCTGGGACGATGGTCCTAAAACAAGTTTTGGTCATATCATTTCTCTGTGTAAATCCTTTCAGTGGCTTTTTATTGCCCTAAAGATAAAGTCTGCATTGCCTAACCCGTCACACATGCTCAATATGACCTGGTGCCGTTTACCGCTCTAGCCCTTCCGTAACCTCTCCCCATTTTTCCATCATACGAACATATTTCTTTCATGCTATAGTCCCTTGCCTCCTGGGACTTCTGTCTGGAATAGCTTCTTACAAGAAAACCTTTCTACCCCTGGTTCTAGACTAGATGCCACCTTACCTTTGTGTGGAACACTTTATGCTCTTGTGCATTGTGATGTAATTCCGTTGCTAGATCTCTGGAGCAGCTTTCTGAGACTTGGCGCTACTGACTTTTTTTATATGCCTGTCTAAGGCCTAGTACTCTCCTAGGCCTCTGACATTTGCCCTGCTTTAGCAGTCAACTTCTAGACAGGGTTCTAAATAACCTGTACCATGTTTCTCTATCTTGGTGTTGACATTGGGCCTGGACAGTTCTTTGTTGTGAGGGAGCTGTCATAAGTATCATGTAGGATGTTTAGCATTATCCCTGGACTCTGCCCACTGGATACTAGCAGCACACTCTCTCCCCTAACCCCATAGTCACAACCAGAAATATCTCCAGACACTGTTAAATGTCCGCTGGGGGGCAGCCACCTCTAGTCAATCTGCTGGTCTAGAAGGAGGGCTTTTTAAGGCAGAGGTTATGCTTGTGTAGATCTCCGTAAGTCCAGCTTGGTGCACATAGGTTGGCTTAAATGTAATGAATTGAATAAATGACTAAGGTGGGGATGAAGGTGCTGGGCAAGGAAGGGGATGGATGAAAGGAAGGATGAAGAGAAAGTTTAGTTCTTTCCGTAACAGGGAGATGAGAGAACATATAGCAAGTGCTTTTTGAGGAATTGAGCTACCACACAGAGGGCTCAGGCTGTTCTGCCTCTTTGACTACTTCCTTTGCCTTGTGGGCCATCCCCCAGGGACTTCTTTCCTGCCTTGGAGCTAGAGGCACAGAATCTCGATTGCTCAGTCTTAGAATCCACCAGGAAGCATTTGTTAAAGTGCCGTGGAAGCCGTGGGCACAGATATGGGTCAGAAGCCAATCCCTGCCCTCATTGCTTCAGACTAGTGGGAAGGACACTGGTGGGTTTTGTCTCTGTCCTGAGGCCCTTCCACCCTTCCTCTCCTGGCGTATTCCTATTCCTCCTGTCCAGTGTAGATTATATTAGGCCTTTCTGTTATATGGGTCCATGGACCATATAATACCTCTTTTCCTTCATGGTATTCCTCACAACTTCAATTATGTGTTTTTTCCCTCTGCTTATTTAATGTTTCTATTCTTTGAGACTAAACCTATGGAGGAAGGAATGGCACATGTTTTGTTCATTTATGTTTCCGTAGCTCTGGCCCAGTAACTGGCATATTATAGGCATTCAATACATAATTTACATAGAAATGAG